AATGGCGCGACGCGCTACGGAGCACGCACGCCCTTCGGGGTAGGAAGGGGACATCCGGGTTCCGAAACAGGAGGGTCATCTATGAGCCGTAGATAGCCCGAGGTACGTCGGGGTACCAAGGCTTTCCTTTCTAGGGTATACCTGGTTTCCCGGCTACTAGTACCCGAGACGGCGTTTGGTTTTTAGTCGGTTCGAGTACGACATAGCCACCGGTAGGTGCTATCCGAGGGGATTTCCGCATGAAAAAATAAATAAAAGGGGTGTAACTACACAGCAAAGCTAGTTTCGAACTAATTATCATCAAGTATTGAAGCATGTAATGCAATACTATGCCATTACGAGTGCCTCATTAGCCACATAACCAAGGTATACTTTCTAAAGGAAACCTGTCCATGTAGCGGACTTTCCCAAAGCTTTTCTGTGAGTTGACTATGTGGAACATGTTTTATATAATATCAAGGTTATCGACAGCCCACCGGGCTTTCAAGCTGAAGTGGCTGCGGTTAATATGGCCATATTAGCCGCAGAATCGACAACGTTCTTGAGTGGAGACCTCGTCTACCGTGCCGTCTAGGCAAACCGCCAGGTGGAGTGACGATCTACGCAAGGTGGCTGGCAGGAGCTGGATGCCAGAAGCCGAGCATTGATCTAAGTGGAGTGCAATGGGGGAGGCCTATGTCCAGCAGTGGACTGCGATAGGCTGATGATGATTTCATTATTTTATATACTTACAAATTTACCGTATTTAATGGTATAGGGATAAATAAGTATATCTGTCTGACTATGTGTGACTGCCTAAGTACACATGCTCTTAAAGGAGGGTTAAGCTCTGGGAACCTCACCAATTCAGTAAAACATCCATTACGCGCCGAAGCATGGCACTCGCACTAATAAAGGAAGTAAGTTTTAAATATTTTTTTGCGTAAAGTTTAGATTAAATATTTAAGAACGTTTTTTCTAAATAATGGTTAAGAACTTCAAAAAATGTATTTATCCCTTTTTATTTACCCAATTTAATATTAGTTGGCTTCCAAAATTAAATACAGAATACCGTGACGTCATACGTAACGACATAAATTATTGTAAGGGAAATGGGTGCGAAAAATTAAACTCTTGCTACCTTGAGGCGTGACATGATTTCCGACATCAAAATTTATTTATTTATTTAGATACATTCACAATAATTTCTGTCCGTGTAGTGACGGATTAAGAATACGGAATGTCACTACCCCAATTCATCCCGTGGGTGTCGTAAGAACCGACTAAGGGCGCAAAACAACGCAGGACACCAGCACTGCAAAAAGACGGAAAACTTGACACAAACCCTATACCAACCCGCCTGGCCAGCGTGGTATAGTAAGCCAAAAATTCTTTCTAAGGAGAGGCCTATGTCCAGCAGTGGACTATTAAAGGCTGTTGATGTGTGATGTGATGTGATTCACAATATTTTACAGGAATATACTCACACGGCAATTTTGCAAGCTTGTTATAAGGTTGCAATATTGCCTTGGGAGTATATTCCTTGCAATATTGCCTTGGGATAATCATCTAAATGTCCAACAATCTAAATAACATAATTATATAAATGATTTTGAACAAATTAATATTAATAGAAATAATGAATATAAATTATTTATATGTCAGAAATAACGCAACTTTGTGCTACTTCTGCGAATTTCGACAGGCTACAGTTATGATGACAGAAGTCTATATTCGTCGCAATAACGTTAATAATACGAATGGCGCGCGACAAAATATATGTATGTGTAAAAATAAATAATATTTATTCCACACATCTCACACATGGCCGTCTGATCCCAAACTAGGCAGAGCCTGTACTATGGTAACCAGACTGCTGATAAACATACTTATATATTTATAAATATATACCTATTATAGATAAATTTCACCCAGACACACAGTCCTGGGTGGGGATCTCACCCACGACCTCTGGAGTAGCAGTCAGGGTCACTAACCACTAGACCAACAGGCCAGTCAAATCATTGAAATCTTTAAACAACAAAAAAGAATACATTTATAAAAGAAGCATTCATACTAGAAATAGAAAGAATGCAAAGCACCGTAATCTACAATCAGAGTAATTTTAAATTGCACAAGAAGCTACGTAGCTTCTTGTGCAATTTGATTTTTGAGCTTCTTGTGCGATTTAATTTATTACTTATAAAATTATACGTATAATTTTATAAGTAATACATTTAATATGCTTTACGAACTGAAATACTGCTAAATGTATGATAATAAATATAATATGATTCAAGGGGTTTAATAATTTTTAATTTAAAAGCCCAATTCTTAAGGAAGTTTGTAGGCTATTTATGGCATCGCTATGGCCCTTAAAGACTAACCATAAATACGGTTTAAACTACGAGGTACCATTAGTGTAAAATTTTAGGTATTATAAATATTATAAAAGAAAGTATCCAGTTGCGTCTTTCTGTCTGTCTGGTCGTGATAAAATAAAGAACTATTAATAGACAGGGTGATTCATAAGAAAGGTTTAGGTGTATAATTTGTTAAAGTTTTGTATTGTAAGCCGTGGCCCGTTGTGTGTTTGATGACGGATTAAGAATACGGATTGTCAACACCCCCTTATTTTTTTTACGTTCGGAAATCCCCTCGGATGCATGTCGGACTCGAACCGACTAAAACCGCACGCCGTCTCGGGTACTAATAGCCGGGGAACCAGATATACCCTAGAAAGGAAGTCCCTGGTGCCCCGACATACCTCGGGCCATCTACAACAACAGGTAGACGACCTCCCCGTGTGGGAACCCCATGTTCCCTCTGCTCCCTGGAAGCGAGCGCGCTTCGCAACGCGCTCGCTGCCACCCCGGCCTGCTTCTGCTAGGGTGACAGATGGCCTCACCTGTTACCCTTGTCAACACCCCTATGCATCCCGAGGGTGTCGTAAGAGCCGACTAAGGGAGCAAACGACGCAGGATAACAGTACTGCCAAGAGTAGGAAAACTTGAAACAAACCCTATAAAAACCGATCTGGTCAGCGTGGTATAGTAGGCCAAAACCTCTTTTCTAAGTAAAGGCATATGTCCAGTAGTGGACTACTAAAGGCTGTTGATGATGATTGATGATTATGTTATAATATGCTTTACTGCAGCCCTTTCCGTGTGAATCCGTGATGGGTGGGTAGTTCTAAGTCAAATAAAAATGAACACAAAGCGCCTTAACAAATACTAAAAGCAATTACAATTTCTACCAAAAATACACATCGTATTATGTACACTATATTTAAATTGACATGAAAACTAAAAGCCTGAAATAAAAGCCTTTTATTTGCATGATGGTATCATTTGAAATGGATTTCAAAGGCCCGAATTTTTAGTTTAATTTCAACTCAGATTCTAAATAAAACGAATATGACAGAACAAATAAAAAATATTTTAAGCGGCGTTCCAATAAATTTTATCGCACAAAAATTTGATTTATTGAATCAGATAAAGCTTTCAATTAAATTCATGGAATGCAAATTCCAAATATTTTACTGTACAAAACTGACTGAAAAACTATGTATATTATACAGGATGTTTTAAGTTTTTTCGTTTAGTTTAGGTCAATTCATTTCCATCAATTATAACATTGTTAAAAAGTATTGTGTTCATACAATATAAGTAACTAACTAACTTTTACTGCAGGGTTAACAAAGTAATAAAAATATATGTGTATGTTTTTACGGTGTGTATGTATTGTGTATACTTCTGGACTTCTGTAAATAACAGTGTGGTGAAAATAACAATTTGAAAGCATAGAGCAATACCTTTCTACTATTAAGTGTCGTTACTAACAATACTAATATAGACTTTAAGTATATTCTGTTTCTAACCCATTACTAAACAACCTATGGAGTGTATATGTCTGCATTAAATATATTTTATTTTATTTATAAATATGATAATATATGTAGTAATCAATTTATGTATTTTAGTTATATGTATTGCTGGTTTATCTCTTATTTACCAAACCATGCAATATAACAAATTTTGGAACAAGTATAGGCTGCGGTATTTCCGGACCGATACGACCTAAAGGTTGAAGGTTGGTGAAGAACCTTAAAGAAAAGAGCGTACTCCTTCCTCAAAGGCTGGCAACGCGCTTGTGACTCCTGAGTTGCAGGTGTTTATGGGCGGCGGTAGTCGCTTTCCATCAGGTGAACCGTCTGCTCGTTTGCCCCCTATTCCATAAAAAATATATCTTTTCACCTGCCGCATCATATTTCTACATCACCTGGTTGACTTGAAGAGAATGCCTCATGGCATTAAGTGCGCCTTTGTACAACATGTGTATTAAGTTTAAATAAATAAATATGTAACAAAAGAATAATAAAACGTTTGCAAAGTTTAAACTTACTTATTCTACTGCAGTTAACTTTACCGCATCAGATGGTAATAAAAATCCAGATTATACAGCATGGCTTAGATAACTTCCAGTTTATTACAATCACCGTATGTATATAAAACGTTTCCTAGTTATAAATATTATTTATGAAGAATGTTTATGTTTTATTATGGAACATGATGTACTGAGTTTCTCCGTTAAAACTGAGTAGTTTGAATTATAATATGAACTAACTGATTTTCGAATTTCTATCGTTTCGAATGTCTTGCTATATACTTTATATACCAGTATAACTTGAACACAATATTTATTTATTAATTTTGTTATATACTTAATTTCTACTAATTAGTACAATTAATTAGTATAAACACAAACTAATACGGGGCTCTTTACTGTCATCTTTTAGAAAACATATAACAGGAAAATTATTCTACGATTGAAACGTCAAAGAAGATAAATCTCTTTGATACTACAAATTTTAATGTGAAGTTAAAATTAGATACTTATTTAAGAATTAGTTTTTTTTGTCAAGAACTCATTTGTTAAAACCTTATTTGTTTTGATTAATTTCAGGAAACGTTCAACTTCAACGAATTCTTTCATCAAAATGAAGTAACTCCAAATTCAAAATGGGCAGCGGTCTCAGCAGTGCAACTAGTCGGAAATGGCCAGGCCGGAAACACGAAACTCCTCCTCATGCAGAATCGTCGAGGGTTCTATTCCTCCTATACCTGATTCATAGGACCTGGAATGTGGTAGTAGACCATGTAGATTCCAAAAGTGCCAGGTTAGTTTGAGACAAAATATAATAACTATAAATTTATTTTAAACAGTTATATTTGCGTAAAGGACTCATTATTAAAAGAAAAGTTTCGGGCCTATATCAGAGCGGAAGCATTTTGCAATTCATTGCCAAACTGTCGTAATGCCTAAAACATTCGTAAGTCCAGAATACCCAGTTTTTCATTGGTATTAACACACCGGTTATAACCACATTATCTTAACCAGCATACCTATCTATTACTACTTGTCTCTCTGGATACTGACTGACTGAGATAAGTATACATTTCAATTAATATACCGTTTCATTGTCATGCCTTAACTAATCAACTAATCATCGCGAAACATTGTATCCTTACAAGGTATATACAATGTTACGTGGTACGCTTATTTTCATTTAGAAAAACGGAACTGTTTTTGCCACCAGGCATAACACAACACATGATAATTGGCCGTATACCAATAAAGCCATAGTGTAATGATCGATGATAGCTACCAATTTATACCCAGGAGTCGCTTGCATTGGTAGAAAATTATGCATGTTTTATTCAGTTTCGAATTAAAATGCCTGGTCTCCTATGAATTTACCATCTTGAGTCACTCTTAAATACTTAATATGACTGAGTGACTGCACGGGTGGCGTAGTGGTTTAAGTGGTCACCACACCATTTTCTACTGCGCTGAGTGTAGTGGTCCGATCCCCACACGAGACAACACTTTGTGTGATCTACAAATTGTTGTTCTGAGTCTGGGTGTTCTTTGTGTCCGTTTCATGCACGTTTGTAAAGTCCCTCGCGACACAGGATATATTCCTAGAGCAAAAGTTGCCTTTTTAACAAAAAAAAAAGAAAGTCAAGCTGTGTACCAACATATGTAAAAATTCGTTTCTTAAATACGGTTTTAATAATTTTCAGATGGCGTGGGTCCCGCACAGTCCCAAGTTCTGGCGAAGGTTTGCAGCAGAGGTTTGATTCCGTCAGCATTGCTGAGTCCGATCTTGGATCGTGCTACTCCGACTGCAGCTGTAGCTACTGCCGGCTTCGAGAGTGCGCTCATGACTGTATCAGGTGAGTTCTTCCTCCATATATTATTCGTTTATCCGTGCAGTCTTTCAGTAACTGGTTCAGTTATCATTTCTACTGATATAGAATAGAAAAGTAGAATCCAAACTTCAGTAGTTTTCAAAATGTATTTTGATAAATATTTTCTTTGTTTTCAGGTAAGGCAATAAACTACGACTGGATTATTTAGAAATAATATAAACTGCTGACGATGGGTACATTGGAAAACATATCGTCATTATTAACAGCCAGCTTTTTATTATTAAGTTAGATAATAATTATATATTAGTTCACAGAGAATCTAATTATTGTAAAAAAACACAAAATTCCGACTGCGTGAAAATGTATACTTAAATGTAGATTTTAATTTTTATGATTCTCATATATCCAGTATCATAATCAAAACGAATTTACCGACACCGTTAAACGCCAAAATTCATTAATCATTTTACGCTGAAAAGCGTGCCAAAGACATACATATACATTCTTACCTACATACACAAAAATTATAACCTCCTTCTAGCGCAGTCGGTTAAAATAAAGAAAGTTAATATTCCAGTAAAGTATGGCTTGAATAAGGCAGTTAAACAGAGAGCATCTGTTCTGTTTTGCAGAATTATTTTGAATGTTCATACCTAACCTCCCTTCAACTCACTAAATTGAAGTGCGCTAAATATCATATGAAAGAGCTGGTGCTAGCGAGTTCAGTTAGACCAAAAGAAACTGCGGACTTCAATTAGAACTAGAGATAATATGACGTTTGAGTTTAACTTGAAAAGGATGAAGTTCATGAAAGGTAATTTTTGGTTGGATGAAACTGCAATCGGTCGATCGGTCTCCGACTAGAATTTGTGTATTTAACCAATTTTTAACCGACTTCCAAAACACAAAAGAGGAGGTTATCAATTCGTCTGTGTTTTTTTTGTATGTTTGTTACGCGATATCTACGTCGATTGTGAACCCATTTTCAAAATTCTTTTTGTAATCGAAAGTGTATATAATGGTATGGTTTATATATACAACGTGTTTTAGCTTGTTTGTCTAGCTATGTAGGTATTTGCGTTTAGTGTTCGCAATGTGATGTTGATAAGCCGATGATGGGAGGGACCTTGACCTTTAGGAATTAGAGGATAACTCTTTCATGTATTGACCTTGTTTCTTTTTTTTAAGATATTTTTCTATCATTATTTGACTGATTATTTCCATTCAATAATATTTTTTTGAAAACATTAATTCTGGTAGTTCTATGTGTGTTTATTATGTTAAAAAGAGTGAAATGATAGAATATTCAGTAATATATAGCAAAACTTATCATTCAGCGTCTGGTATGTACTGAATTCATACATTTAGCAACAGTTTACAGAACTATAAATGAAATATAAAATACTTGTGTATTTTGTAAGCCTTTCCGATTAGTAAAAATCCAAGTTATACCTTTATTTGCAGTTGGCTACAGAGGAGATCTCATTAGAGCTATTACATCACAAGCTTTTATTCAATAAGGAAAAGATTTTACTTTTTTATTTTCTACCGTTCTAAGTTTCGAGTATGGTACAATTTTATCAAAGGACATTTATAAGGGATTAAAAATGCTTGTGTTCGGATTTGGTACGGAATTATTATTTCGGGTAAACTACTGTTTGATCAAATACATAGTAGAAAAAATCACGCAGTTTTTTTATGTTATACTGCTTGAATAGCTTGTTACTAAATGGTAACAGAGTAGGTTAACGTACTGCAATAGTAAGCAATTCTAGCTAGGTCAGTGGTCAGGTGGGTAACCATTCTTTTCTTTTTTATTTGCATTGCGACTTTTGCAGAAAGTTCTAGAAAGAGAATAGAAGAAGAGAGACAATGACTAGTTGACATTATAAAGATTCGCAGCTGAGTGTGCACTACACCATCGCTTACCGTAGACCTAGGAGTGTCACCACCCCTATTCATCCCGTGGGTGTCGTAAGAGCCGACTAAAGGAGCAAACTACGCAGGACAACAGAACTGCAGAGAGAAGGAAAACTTGACACAAACCATATACCAACCCGTCTGGCCAAAGTGGTATAGTAGACCACAACCTCCTTTCCAAGGAGAGGCCTATGTCCATCAGTAGACAATTAGAGGCTGTTGATGATGAGAGCAGATTTTCTTACAGAAGCAGAGATAAGAGTAATTTTGAAATGCAATTGACATAATTGCTATTCACTTCTTCTATCCCGTGTTAAATTAATTTCTAATTTAGGCCAAATTTGGTGAAGTGAAATTTTGTGTTTATTTTTTCAATAGTTGTCTCAAACATACATAGACTCATCTTTATGAAAAAAGTCTCCACTTCGAGACTATTTTCATATCTTGAACGTGGAGACAGGGGTGTATTAAGCAATCACATTTTGTCGACTCCAGTTTTAGTTCCACTTAGATAACTGAAGGTAAGATCACTACCGTCTTTAGGTATTAACTGGTTAAATTAGGTTAGTTGTCAATTTTGCCAATTCTGAGAAAATCATTGTAAAATTTGGAGAGCCAGAGAGAATAAAATATGGTTAAAAATATGTAATATGTGGCATATGAAACAAACTTTATTTTATTTATTTTAACGATAGAATTGGTCAGATTTACATCTGTCTCCATGTGTGATCATTTTATGGTGCCCATGGGAAATTACGAAATCGAGGAGCAGGCTTGTCAGATTATGGAACACAAATGGGGTCTACACTTAATTTAAAGTTGAAATATATAAAAATATGGGTATACTTTCAAATCATCCCAATTAAAGCTTGTTTCGTAAGTCTAATTTTGTCATAATACAATGTTTCCTTATTCTATCTTATCTTATATATAAAATTCTCGTGTCACAATGTTCGTTCCCGTACTCCTCCGAAACGGCTTGACCGATTCTCATGAAATTTTGTGTGCACATCGGGTAGGTCTGAGAATCGGCCAACATCTATTTTTCATACCCTTAAAAAATAACGTATATGGGAAAACAACGTTGGCCAGGTCAATATTATTCTAATTTCAAGATGGCTCACGGTTCCAAATATAAATATTATGCATATACGAAAATTTAACTTTTTATTCATATTTAAAGTTATATCTGTAGAATTATTCTGACATTCTCAGCCGAAATCAGTTATACAAGCAAACACGACTTGTCCAATGACAAGAGATTATCCATCCAAATAAACGGCTCTTGTTGTGACAAAACCACAACACCAGACTTGTAAGTTTAATTTATGAAGATTGTTATAGATACGTAACCACCCATTGGACCATTATTACATTTTCCGGGATCTCGCTATCACTGAGACCGTACTATTAACACGAACAATTAAATACAGCCCTAGAAGCTTACCAGTGCAGCACGAATGTTGTTTATCTGCACACAGCTACTCGTGTAGAGAGAAATTGATTTGTTTTTGTCTATTTAGCTGTTTGCTGTGCAGAAGTATACAGCATTTTCTTTTTAAAACGCAACTTTAAAGAAATTCTATCGTTATTTGATTGTTAACGTGATGTATGCCTGTGATAATGCGACTTAGAAAACATGAAATAACGGACGTGAAACTAATCAGGGGTCATGGGCTGATTCTATGTCGAGCGAGTTCAACCTAGTTCAATATCAGTCGCTGTATACTATGGGTTTTACAGCTGGTCAAATCGTCACACAATGCAAATGTATACTATATCTATTAAGTAATTCCGTTAAATACTCGTTAATTTTGTCATTACCGCCATTGAAACCTTTTCGAAGCGTCAGGAGATTCATAGGTATGTAAATCCTATTACTGGTCGAGTTAATTCCTATAAATATAACCCCATAAAAACATAAATGTAAAAATGTGAACCAAGTTCAGTATCAAAAATTTGCGTGCTTGTCAACATCCCCAAAAATAGAATTGAGATGTAAACGAATGCCAAATTCTGTAGATTAATAAAAAAGAAAATAACATAACACCCTAAAATACATTTTAAACACAACTTCTAGTATTTGCTGTTACAATTTTTTTCTTTATATTTTTAACCGACTTCAAAAACACAAAAGAGGAAGTTATCAATTCGTCTGTATTTTTTTTTGCATGTTTGTTACGAGATATCTCTGTCAATTATGGACCGATTTTCAAAATTCTTTTTGCAATCGATAGGTCTTGCTCCCTGGTCCCATCACCACTAAATCAGGATCTGATTATGGGAGATTACAAAACATTTAGACAAGAAAAAATGTTTGGTAAGCAATTATTTTACTGTTGGTGACTAAAAGTCTTTCATTTGTAAACTTGATTTGATTAGAAAATTATTATTTTTGTTATGGAAAGATACTACTGAAGTGGTCCATTACCACCAAATCAGGATTTGATGATGGTATCCTAGAGGCGGTGGTGTGGTAACGGATTAAAAAACAGAGTGTCACCAACCCCATTCATCTCGAGGGTGTCGTAAGAGCCGACTAAGGGAGTAAACTACGCAAAACTACCCCTGCAAAGAGAAGGAAAACTTGAAACAAACCCTATACCAGCCCGTCTGGCCAGCCTTCCTGAGGAGAGGCCTATGTCCAGCAGTGGACTAGTAAAGGCTGTTGATGATTGATGGTCCAAGAGAAATCAAGGGTAAACCCTCAAATTTTACAGGTCCGATAACGTGTTTTAGCTTGTTCGTCTAGCTATATAGGTAGTTGCGACTAGTAGTCGATATGTAATGTTGCTGAGCTCACGATGGAAGGGTCCTTGCCCTTTAGGAGTTAGAGGATAACTCTTTCAAAAATGTAATCGTGTATTGACTTTGTTTTTTTTTTTTGAAGATATTTAATAGGTGCTTGTGTTGGGATACAGAGATATGTACACAAAAGAGTAATATATGAGACTACATAACATTGTATATATTACGGTACGTAGTGTTTTAAATATCGTAGTTATCTGCTCATTATAAAGATATCTTACACTAAAACTGGTAAAATAAATCCTTTAAAAAAAATTTGAACCGACTTCAAACAATACTGATAAAGAGCACGAAAAATTAAAAAGTATTTACAATTCTAAGTAAAAAAACTATTATAAGTACCCTCAATATAACAGGTAACATTATAATAGCAATGGTCCCTTCTAGATTGTTTGAAGTCGTTGCTAAGCCCGATGCACAATAAATAATACTAGTCTATGTCGGCTTTATAT